ACTGTATAAATAAAAACTTTAGCAAGGTGGCATGGGCAAGAAGGACAATTTTTTTTCACTTTTAATTTTAAATTAGTGCTTAATTTTAATGTTTATTTTTTAAATCAGGTATACACCGATTACTTTCTGACCAAAAAAAAAAAAAAACAACTAAATAAAAGTAGACTACTTTATCTAGAGAGTGAAAAATCAAAGTGCATTAATTTTTCCATACTTGTTACACAAAAGGATCTCTTGATACTTTTCAAACTTTAAGTTTCAGAGTCACATGCACAGATACATGCTAAATACTTCTACCTGGACTACAGGCATTTCAAATTCATGTCCAAAACTGAATCATTACTTTACTCCCTTAAAACTTCTTATATTAATTATTGGTGGTTATCTAAGTTACTCACCAATAGGTTCCCTTTTCATTTAGAGCTATCTTGATTATCTACTGGAGAAATTGGGGACATTTTTGTTTTTTTCTGCCAGGGAAGGGTTCTGGGGATTAAATCCAGAGCTGTGCACATGTGAAGCATGTGCTGTCTCACAGACTTACACCCCCAAGCCTGGGAGACATTCTTAATGATCCCCCTTATCCTCACCCCAAATCCAATTATCAAGTGTTATCAATTTTATTTTCTGAACAGTTTTCTAATCCATCATCTCTCCATTTCTACTCTTTGCCCTATTTCATACATTCTTTACATCTAAGTACTGCAATATCTAACCTATGTCCTCTCTAACTTAAGTGCTCTCTCTCTCCTCACCTCATCCTGTTGCCATAATGACCTCTATAAAATGAAGCTAACTATGTCATACCATGAAGCTTTTCATGGAACTTCACTGCCTACAACTCAAAAACTAAGCATCTTTAATTAACATGATATAAAAGATTCTCCTGGATCTAGACTCTCCAGGTGTCCAGTTTCATCTTTTGCTATCCTGTGCCTTACACTTCAGCAATTCTGAACTATCAACAGTTCTCTAAGCATCCAATTTATTGGCTTCACTATTCCTACTATACATCTGATTACAATGACCTCTCTTCTCTCCACTATCACCTCTGAAAATCCCATGAAATCAGAGTTTCTTAATCTTGGAACCACTGACATGACACTATGAGTTGAATAATACTGTTGTTGGAGCGGTTCTGTTCATTGTTAAAAGATTTTTAGCTACATCCATGGCCTCTACTACCTAGACACCTGCAGCATTCTCACTGGTTGATCAAAAATTCGAGACAGGGCCAAATGTTCCTGGAGAAGAAAATCAGCCCCAGTCAATAACTATTCCTTTAACTTGTTGAAACTTAAGTCTCTCATATGTACATAAAATACTTAAAAAAATATATATAAAGAATAGCTGCTTTTCAGGAGGACATATGGATGACAGAGGTAACTAGATAAGAAGAAAAAAAGTTTACTTTTCACATTTACTTTTAATCTGTTTTTAGTCTTGTACCTGTTCTAATTTCTCCACAACTACAGCCCTGGTCTGAGCCACCCCTTTCTCTTAACTGCTGCAAAAACCTTCTAATCAACTTTTTTTTTTCCCCTTTAACCTTTCCTTCATTGTATTTTTTAGAGTAGTCAGAGTGATCTTTTTAAAACTGTACTTGTAACTTGTCACCCAACTGCTCTGAACCCTTACAACTTCCTAATCTCACTTAAAAAGCCCAAACCTTAAAATGACCTTCACATAATCTGCCATCTTATTTCACCCCTTTCTTTGTGATCTTTCTTCCTTGGACTTAGTGGTTTTGGAGGTAAGAAACAAACAAATAACAATTTCACAGGATTGACTCTAATACTATTTCTCCATGTTTTACCTTTGAATTCACTGACATCTCTCTAACATGCCCATGGTCTTTATACTTGCTGTTATCTGCTGGGGACATATGCCCAGACACTAATAGGTCTCACTCCCCATGGTCTTTATTTCTTCAGGTCTTTATTTCTCAGTGGTCTTCCCTGACCATCCTACTCTTACCCATAGCACTTATTAATATCTAACATTATTTTTTAAATTCATCTTGTATACTGTCTTTCTTTTCCATCCTGATCAGTGTTCTCAAACCTGAGTCTGCATCAGAATCATCTGGAAAGTTAATTATAACAATTTTCAAAACAAAGATCTGGACTCTGAAAATGTGCATTTCTAACAAGTTCCCAGGTGATACAAGAATCCAGGGACCACACTTGTAGTACTAATGTTTCAGAGCCACACAGGGAGAATGCCACGAAGTGATACAGTTACAAGCCAAGGAATTGTCAGTGACACAAGAAGAGGCCTAGAACAGATTCTCCCCTAGAACCTTGACAACATGGTCCTGGCAACATCCTGATTTCAGACATCTAGCCACAAGAACTAGGACAATAAATTTCTGTTGTTTTAAATGGCTGTTTGTGGTTATTTATTATGGCAATCCTAGGGGGGAAAAAACAAACAGAATGCAAACAACTACACCAAGCTGTATGTAATCCCAAATTCTGCCCATTATCCAACTTCTACCAGTTTAAGTAATGTTTTAAATACATAGCTTTCATTTTAATCAGATTTCCTGTTTGAGAATTTCCTCAACATTGCTTTTTCTTGTCCTAAATGTGTCCCTTCAATGTGCAAGACAGATCATTTTACAGGGACTGGACAGTTTATTTGAATTTTCTTTTTGGTTTTTCCCAGCTTCTTGGGGGTTTCCTTAACTCACAAGGAGCATCTTCTTTATTTTTTTCCTCCAAAGAAGACTTCATAATTTCACACATTAAAATTTGGGCACATATTTTCCCCTGGGATGCTTGAATTAGGTGCAAAATAAAAATTTAATTTCACACCAGAGTTCCTTTATAACCAGATTTTAAAATAAAATGCTAACTTCACATTTTAAGGAACAGATTTTTTTTCCTTCTTCACTTAAAAAATTCTATTGGGAAACCTAAACTTTTAATGTAGCATCAAGCTGATAATTTTCTATTAAAAGATTTATAAATATACTGTCACAAAAATTACTATCAGTAATTTTACCACATGAAGACTCTAAATTAACATGGCTTACAAAGGTAATCAGTATAACAGAATTTTTACTGCAGCACATAACAACATACAAATAGTACCTCGAATATAATTAACAATATCACTTTTATATTTCTATCATTAGGTAAACATTAACTCATTGTCTGTACCTAACTAAATCTGCATATTTATTTCTGGATATTTAATTTATTCAGAAATATAGACTCATATAATCTAAAGACAGTATACTTAAACTCTAAATGGATAATAACCACAAACTATCTTTAAATGCTGAATCCTAAGCAAAAAGATATTGAAAAAACACAAATTCCAGGCAAATTTGAGAAAGATATTTAATAGTTCTCCACTAGTCCTGAAAAATCATTCTCTTTCACTATGAAGAATTTTAAATGAGTCATACTTTCCTTACTAAATCACTGTTTTACTTAACATATGGTGAAAAGAGTTAACTGTTTGGTAACTTGAAGCTTTATATTCATTTAAACTATACATCAATATATACTAAAGCTGGCAGAAAATAAAACAAATACAGTTTATTACATACAATATTTAGAACTCTCCATATCATGTGCATGAGCCTCATCTGACATTTCTCTGATACGGGAGTGAAAAGCTGTCATCTAAATACCTTCAAAAACTCGGATTCCCACATCTCAAACTTACTAGAATTAAACAACTTGAAATTAAGCACAACACTTTTTTTCTTGGCACCCAGGCAGAGCTATGTTCTACATCCATCTTTTACTGAATTAACATATTTCTGACTCTTACATATTGCCTAATTATTTAAAGTTCTAACTTTATAACTTTTTTAAAAAAAATTAAATATTTTTATAGTAGATGGACACAGTGCCTTTATTTTATTTTTTTTATGTGGTGCTGAGGATCGAACCCAGTGCTTCACACATGCTAGGCAAGCACTCTACCAATTGAGCTACAGCCCCAACCCACTTTGTAACTTTTTAATTCATAATGAAATCAATTCATAGTCAGCATAGTTTTTAATCATTAAAGCATTAAAAGGAAATAAGGCTATATACTCACAATGAATTTAGAAAACTGGAAACTTAATAAGCTTTTCCAGAATGTGAGTCTTGTGTTGTTGTTGATGATGTTATTTTAAAAAATGGCAAGGGGGGGGGAGCGGCTAAGGGCTAAAAATTTATAAATCCCTACCCCTAAACTGCGGTCTATTAGAAGCATGCAATTTATCTAAACTCAAAGCACTATGGAGAACTTGCCAGAATCCAGAATCCATCACACTTTGCAGGGGGAAAGGGGGAAAAAAATCTGAGTTAAAAAAAAAAAAATCCCCCCTCTTTCTGGTAGCAAGTGCCCTGACACGCACCTGGCTTGTTCACTGTCAGCGGCAGGGAAACTTTAAAAAATAAATCAGTTACAGACAAACCTGATGATCCAAGCAAGCCCCAGGCACTTCTGGACGGCGCCCGCTCGCTGGGCGCTCAGGCGGCGCTGCAGCCCGGCTCTCGCGGAAGGTGCCCACACCTGAGAGTCGAGTTGGCTAGACCGCCGCTGGGGACCCGGGCGGGGAGGACCCGGGGGCGGGGCAGGCAGGGCCCGGCAGGACAGGACCGCTAGGTGACCCGGCCCGCAGCCGGGGCGCAGCCCGCGCCTCACGCGGACGCCCGACGCCCGGCAGCACGAGCGCAGGAGGTGAGGAGTACGGGAGGGCGAAAAGAAGGACCCGCCACGACAAGGAGGCTACATGTCGTCAAAATAACGGCCCGTGGGCACCCGGCCCCCGTGGCAGCTCGCGGAGGCACCAGGAGTTCGAAGTGCCCCGCGCCTCCCTCAGAAGCCCGAACGCCCCAAGCCCGGCCCCGACCCCAAGACACCTGTTTGGCGGCGCCTGGCGTTCGGTTCCACCCTCCACGCTCCGGCTCACACAGCCCGAGAGGGGGGAGGGCGAGGGGAGCCCAGACCTCCGACCCGCAGCCTGAGGGCGCCTCTCCTGGCCGTACCTGACATCAGCAGCTGCTCCCCGTCGCCCCTCCTGGGGGGCGGAGAGGGGGTCCACTCGGGGCTGGCGACCTTTGCTTGTCTGGGCAGCCGCAGAACTGGCTCGTGGCCGCTAGCCCGGGCCGCCCGCTACCGCCCAGATCATTCTCCCGCGGCGGTAGAGGTGGCGGTGGCGGCGGCAGCCGAGGCGGGCCCGGCGCGCGCTCCCGCCCGCTCGCTCCGCCCCTCCTTGCAGCGCGTCCAGGCCGCGGCCCGCCTACGGCGCAGTCGCCACCCAGGGGTCTCCTAGCGCTGACGTCGCCGCCGCCGCACCGGCCCCAGGGAAGGGCGGAGCCGAAGGGGGCAGGGAGGGGCGGGGCTACGGCGACGTGCGGACGCGGGGATAGGGCGCCGACCAAGAGCTCCGCCCTTCTGCGAAGGGGTCTGGGAAGTCGGGGCTTTCAGAAGCTGTAAGCTTCGTTGCAGCCCTCTTGCGCCTCTTATCTACGGGTTTCATCTTTCCAACTCTGCCGTTGGGTTCTGCACTAGCTTCCATACTTGGAGACTGAGGAGGACAGGAACGTAGTGAAAGGAAGGAAACTAGAACTGAGACTGGTCGTGACTGAGAGACCTTTCTCTGAGAGACGGACTCTTAACTCTGTAGTAGTATCTTGGCCTCTAACCTGCTCTTAACCCATCCTTTTTTTTTCCTCGCTAGTCTTCTCCCCATACTCTCACTTTCTCTCTGGTCTTAATGAAAGGAAATATGGCAAGATGAGCTATGCAGAAAGGTGCTACATAACGTGATGTGTGAACCAGAAAGAACTGAAAAACAGTGATATCAGAAAGCCATCTGCAAGAACACGTGCATAAACTTTGATTCTGTCTGTACTTAATTTCTGTCCTACAATATAGCAGAAAGAAGTTCTTCAGAGCTTGCAAAAATCATCTGCCCTTAGGGGGTGGTTGCCACCTGTCCAGATAATCCCACTACATAGTGAGGAGGTGAGTGGAAGGTCTATATGTCATTGGCTTTAACCCTCTACAAGGCCAAGCTCCAGGATCGGAAAGCTACTGCCTGCTTCATTTAAATGCGCGACTTGGGCAGTTCTTTAATAACCTGTAAGTGTTAAAAGTAGACTCTGAAAACAGGCTGGTTGGTCTGTCACTTCATTTTCTGTTGCTAAACTGTAGCACAGCTTGGTTCCATATACTTCCACAAGGGAACTAGAAAAGATACTCCTCTAGGGGTCACAATGTTCCAAATACAAACCAAACCAAACTCAGGATTCTTTGTGTCATTTTAATTTAATTGAAAGTTATAGTGAACAAAGAATAACCTTTTTTTCCCCTCAATGAACAAAAGTAAACCTTTCCAATGATAAGATTAGCCATATTCAAAATAAAGAAGAGCTTTATTTTGGCTGTGGTTCTGGGCAAAGTTCTGGCCAGCCAATGGCCTTCTTGCTAGCAGTGCCCTGAAGCAAAGCAGAATATCTCATGGCAAGAAACAGGGAGCTCATAATAGAGCTTGCCAAGCTCCCTTTTATAGCAGACCTGCTGTCTGGACAGCCATTGACCCATCAATACATTAATCGGGTGAGTGGATTAAGCTATTCATGAGGGCAGAGCCCTAATCAACTCTTAATGGTTCCACCTCTTAACATCTTATGATGGGGACAAGCCATATTCAAACCATAATAGGCTGGAACCTTGCTTCCCTTCCCCTATTTATTGGCTGTTTAATGTTAGCAAGTTACTTAGCATGCCTGGGAGAAATAATAAGAAGCATATTTTAGTTATTGTTATTTTTCCTGTAATTTGCTTGGGTTCAGCTTTAGTGTATAGTTTGCCACGTCTTAACATCAATAGATCCAAAAGAGTCTTCCAAAAGAATTTTAAAACTTAATGGCCGGGCACACGCCTGTAATCCCAGTGGCTCAGGAGGCTGAGACAGGAGGATAGCGAATTCAAAGCCAGCCTCAGCAAAAAGCAAGACGCTAAGCAACTCAGTGAAACCCTGTCTCTAAATAAATTACAAAATAGGGCTGGGGATGTGGCTCGGTGGTCAAGTGCCCCTGAGTTCAATCCCCTGTACCCCCTCTTCCCCTAAAAAACTTAAGGAACATCTAGTGATTCTAATTCAGATGTCTCTTTTTTTTTCAGATGAGGAAACTGAGGCCAGAAAGATAAACTAACAGAACATGCCAGAAGAGAAATGCCAGAGTCATGACAGCCAGGTTGGTGCCCTTTCTTGTCCCCTGCCTCTAGACTTCTCTTTACTATATCTCACGTTTAATTTCCTTTCCTCCTCAACTTCTGTATAGTTGTTGCCCAGGCCCATCCCCCACCACAGCTTGGTTCCAAATACTTCCACAAAGAAACTAGAAAAGATACTCCTCTAAGGGTCACAGTGTTCCAAATACAAACCAAACCAAACTCAGGATTCCTTTGTGTCATGTTTCTTTAGCCATTTGACCTACACCCATCCTTTTTCTTACTTAGAACCAGGACACCATGCTGAAGGTAGAGCCACAAAACTTCAACCATGATGACAAAAGCCACACACTCAATATTAATGGTGTAGGAAGCCAGACATGTCTGGGTTCATGGTTGCTTTGGAGGGCCAGCTTACTAGCTAGGCTGGCCATTTCTGGGTTGTTGTTATGTGAGGAAAAATACATTTTTTTCTATATAAGATTTTGTTATATGAGCTTTCTATTATAAGTCTTAAATATAGTTCCTAATTGATATAATGAGGTAGATTATCATTTATATAGCAGTATGTTGACAATTTTTTTGATAGGTTAAAATGAAAATGGGACAGAATATGCAAGCTAACCACAGCAATAAAATATTCTCTAATAAACTTAGTTTTCCATTAAATACCTAAATATTAAATAAGTCATTTTATAATTACTTGAATTTTATAAATTAACATATTCATGACTTAGTGGCTTTAAAATACATCCACAAATTCTTTCATGCTTCTTTCAAAAGATAGCGCTTAATTCCCCTAACTTTAAGTTTGGGCTGTACTTAGTAACTTTTCGTGACTAGAATAAGATGAAAATAACGTAGTGGACTTATGAAGGGAATTTATAAAAGATGTGTCAGCTTTCTTCTTGTTCACTCTCTGGAATTACTTGCTGAAAGTGTCACCAGACAGGGGTCCAAGGAGGTCTCTCTAGAGGACATTGGGACCCTCCATTCGCCCCAGGCAGGTTCTTGCCTTACACCATGTAAAAGCATTCCAGGATGTATTGAAAGCAAGGCACAAGCAATAATTTATTAATAGAGACAGCAAATGAAAGGTACACACACCCCAAAGGCAGGGTGCATATGCCCCTGGCCTCTCATAGAAGGTAAGACAAGTTATTCAACTGGGTTGATCTCCCTGACTATATGAATGATTCTCCTAGGAGGAAAAGTGCAGGTTCCCAGGCAGGCTTTTGTGAATCAGGATGTTTCATCTTATTTAAATAGTTTAGCTACAGATCAGTTATGGGTATATTATGTAGCTTGAATCTGGTGACATTTGAATTGATTATGTTTTTGTTCAAGTTGATCTCATACAAGCGTATGTTGAATGCTTTTTTCCTCTAGTTAAAGGGACAAACATGACTGATCATGCTTATAGGTCTAGATCTCCACCTAGTAAGGGTGTCCTTTTCTCTCTCCCTGAGAGCCCAACTATCTCAGGGAAAGGTAGCCATCATGTCTTTATCATCAGGTCACTCAGGCAACTTATGGAGAGGCCAGGTTGGCGAGTATTAAGGCTTCCAGCCAACAGCCATGCAAATGTCCTTGAAAGCAGATCCTCCAACAATAATCCAACATAGAAATGACATCATGCATCCCTGGCCAGCATCTTAACTGTCACCTCAAGTGAGACCCTGAGCCAGAACCACTCAACTAAGCTGCTCCTATATTCCTGCCCCCAGAAAAATGAGATAATACATGTTTAAATAATTGTTTTAAGCCACTAAGTTTTAGGATACTTTGTTATATAACATTCAATAACTAATACAGTTGACTATAATAGAGCCTAACACAATGGGCAGCGCATAAGTGGGTGTTATTTGAATAACAATTGATTAAAGTGGAGTTTATCTTTTTTACTTTAATAGATTACATATGATGATATTATTACCTGTGGCTGACACATAAATTATATAAGGGTTTTTTAATATGGTCATAAAGAGATCAATTGTGAATCTTACTGAGATCGAAACATTGGTGGTCCTGGATATTAAAAAAAAAAAGTGGAATGAGCAATAATATCCTGAAATTGGAATTCTGTCTTTAGTCTTATCACTAATTAACTGGGTGACTTATGAAAAGTCACCTAAACCTAAATTTCAATTTCCCTATTCATTAAATGGGGACAATAATCTCAATTTGTTTTCAAAAGATAGTCAGTATGATTTTATGTAATAGTGTATTAACACTCTTTCAATTAATTTGGTTAGATCTGCCTTTTTAAATTTTTAAGCAAATAAGTGTTACATATTTAGGTGTGAATCCCATAAAGAATTTTCTTTCAAATGGTGGTAATTTACTTGCTGATTTTACTGTGTGCATTTGTAAACATTAGCATCATTCATAGGCAAGCAGTTTAAGCTTAAGTGTGTGTGGCAGGATGGTAGCTTATTAAATGTCAGATCTCATTTTATTAGCCTGTTGAAAATTTACTATGCTTTAAGAAGAATACATAATTATGACTGACTCCTTTTCCTTTTTATTAATTAATTTTTAACTGTAGCTAGGTATTTGCCCCGGCAATACTTAAATATTCTTAGTAATAAATACACATTTAGCTAGTAATTTGATCTGAGTTTTAAGTGATCATCCTAGAGCAAAATTGTGCCCAACAGCAAGTATATATATGGTAGAATATATGTCTTTCTCTTTTAGAGAGGAGGACTTGTGCACACAGAGAAACGCTTTATGAAATGAAATGTCAGAAGTAAATATTATATAATTATGGACAATGTACAGTTTGTCATGAGTAACCTAACAGATAAATATGTTAGGATGAATAAGGTTTATTTAGCCTTAGTGTAGGATTCAAGTCTTGATTACATAGTGGATGAATTATCCTAGATTTCTGGGTTTTTGAACAGTGATCCCCCCTTATCCATAGGGAATAAGTTTCAAGACCCCATGGATACCTGAAACTGTACCTAGTACCAAAACCTACATATACGCTGTTTTTTCTACATGTAGTTACCTACAATAAAGTTTAATTTATAAATTAGGCACAGTAAAAGATAATAATAACTATAATAAAAATAGAATAATTTGGACTGTGTACTATAATAAAAGTTAGTGAATGGATCCTCTCTTCCCAAATATCTTCTTTTAATGTATATCTTAGCAATCTCAGCATATGCTTTTGTTTTTTTTCTTTATTAAGTCAAGAATTTTCACCTTTCATTTAAAGAAAGTACTTTATTGTTTTTTGTTTTGTTTGTTTTTTGTGTTTTTTTTTTGCCATACCAAGGTTGTTAGCATGACTAGTCTTGCACCTTGGAGTCATTATTTAATAAGTGAAGTGAAGATTATGTCAGCACACTCACTACAATATCATGATAGTTGACCTCATAATTGAGATGGCTACTAAGTGAAAATGAGCAACCGGTGTGTACAGTATTGATAAGTTGGACAAAGGGATGATTCACATCGTGGGTAGGATGGAGTGGGGTGGCATTAGGTTTCATCACATGTTCAGAATGACACACAATTTAAAACTTCTGAATTGATTATTTCTGGAAATTTTTAATACTTTTAGACAACAGTTGACCATGGGTAAATGAAACCTCAGAAAGTGAAACTGGACAGAGGAAGCTTGCTGTATTGTTTCTTGCTTTCTGCTACTTGCTGTAACCCCAAATCATATGAAATTACTGGCTTAACTAGACACTGGACTATATGTGGTTATAATGATCTATAGTAGTAATGAAAAATTCTAGGAAAAAAATGGACACTAGGAAACTGAGAAGAGAGAAGACTGGTGACAGTGTGTTTTCAACAAAATTTCTCACAATACTTGCCAGTTCAGAACAAGGAGAAGATAAAGAAAAAAGAAAGTCTAGGAATTACTTTTAACATCAAGGGAAGAGGATTCAGCATGACTACAATGTGTGCACCAAGGAATTAGTGTTATTGCAAGAAATATTCTCAATTTGTGAGGTTAGGCTTGCTGGTTTTACTCTGTATTCTTCTAGTTCCCTGGAATAAGAATCATAATGTTCTTTAGTTGTTTTCCTTGGTGGCTCACCAAAAGCAGAAAATGTTTTTTGTAAATGGAATAGGCAAAGCTTGCTTTAGTTTGACATTCCACAGGAGTAAATTATTTATGAATGTTGATACTGTTATTGTAAAGAACTAATCTAACATATTTAGCTATGTACTATGGCGTATTTTTTTCTTTCTTTTAAATATTATTTTAAAATTTAAAAATGAACTGTAGTAGATACCATTTTGGGTTTTTGTCACCTCCGCTGAGATGCACCCTGTTCTTCAGCCCTTTACTATAATTCTCATCTATAGGTTGGTTCCCTGTTATGGTTTAGATATTATGTATCCCCCAAAAGCTCACATGGGAAACAATGCAAGAATGTTTAGAGGTGAAATGATTGGGTTGTGAAGTCTTAACCAAATCAAGGCATTAATCCCCTTATAGAGATTAACTGGATGGTAACTCTAGGGTGTGTCTGGAGGAGATAGATCCCTGAAAGTGTACCTTTGGGGTTTATATTTTTGTCCTTTTTGAGCAGAGCGCTTTCTCGCTCTTGGGCGCTCGCTCTCTCTCTCTCTCTCTCTCTCTCTCTCTCTCTCTCTCTCCTTCCTGGTGCCATAATTTCAGCCACTTTCTTCTGCCACACACTTCTGATATGATGCTCTGCCTCATCCCAGACCTTGAGGAATGGAGTCTGCCACCTATGGACTGAGACTTTAAAACCATGAGCCCCCAAATAAATGTTTCCTCTAAAATTGTGCTTGTCGTGTCTTTTGGTCACAACAGTGAAAAAGCTGATTAAACCATCCATTAGGTATATTGATATGAGAGGACCTTTCCCCCTACCTGACCATAGTGATTGGATGAGGTTTGGTCATTGATAGATTCTGAATCAATGAGATTCCCACGTCTGGAATTTGGAGTTGGGACATAAAGGCTTTTGCTATTCTCTGTTGAACACTAAAACTATAACCAAACATGAGTTTTAAATCAGGC